AGGAAGCCCATGGTTGGTGGATGCAGAGGTGGGTGAATCCAAGGTCAACATTTCAGATGGCAGGCTCTGATGGCTCCCAGAGCCAGCAAGCAATATGGTGTGCTGTTGGTTCAAGTCCAAAGAAAGGCGCCAGATGTAGGATTTAAACCGTAGAGTCTACTCAGGTGTCAAGTAGCCACACCCCTGAGGAGCTCTCATCAGGGCTGTGGCCTGAGTAAAGGGTTGTGCTCTACTGGACACTTCCCACGGTTGCCTGGCTTCACCTAGCAGAGCCCTTCCGGGAGTTGATCACATTATGTAAATTCACATCATGGAGGAGGTTCCAACTGCCAAACTGCAGAAAATCTGGGCGCAGCCAAGTTACACACAGTAGACCCATCACACTTGCTTTTGGGGTGATGACTCTCAGTCTGAGCAGCACACTAGAATCACCCATGGAGTTTTACAAGCAAACTTAGATCAAGCTGCACCCTAGTTCATTTGAGCCCCGATCGTGGTTGAGTGTGGAGAGCAGGTAATTTTAGTATTTTCAACCAGGTCTGTAAGTGATTATAAATGCAATCAGGTTTGAAATGGATCTAACCCAAAACAAAACAAACAAGAACCAAACGCACAGCCTCCAAGATGGCAGTTGTTCTTGACGACCCATCAGAAAAGGTGGAACTGCCCTTGTGAAATCCGAGGCTGGAGCTCTGCACGGCGTAGAAAGTAGAACTGCGACCTTGCAACCCAAAGCACAACCAGTATGCCACCAAGGCTTCTTGATCCACCCCAGTGGTTTTCAAAAGTATGGCTCCAGAACTCACGGCATCCTGGGTAAATAGTTTGAAATGCAAATTCTGTGACTCTAGTACTATTAGTCCTAATGGGAAAGTACAGGAGAAGGGCCCCAAAATATGTGTTTTAACAAATCCTCCAGACGATTTCTGTGTGTGATGATGTTTGAGAACTACTGGCCTAACGAGGAGATGCTGTGGTAGCATAGTGGCTAAAGTACTTGGTTGCTAACCAACAGGTTGGTGGTTCAAACCCACTGGCCATAGGGGAGAAAGATGTGGCAGTTTGCTTCCAAAAGATGTATATCCTTGGAAAACTGATGAGGTAGGCTCTGACTGAGGGTCACTATGAGTCTGAATCGGTTCAATAGCATTGACTTCGGTTTGGTTGGAGACCTAAATAGAAATAATCAAAACATGTCCACTTTAACAGCCCATTGTAATCACATGAGAACCCCGACAGGCTGCCCCAGCAATACTCATTTTAATTGTTCTGGGGTGTGGGCCAGGAACTAGAATTTGAAAATCTAATATATGGCCACACTGAGAACATAGGACTGAACCAGCCATTCTCAAGTATGCTCTGGATCCAGCAGCGTCAGCACACTCTCAGAATACAAGTAGCTGATCCCTAGGGACGGAGCCCAGCTGTGTTTTGTGAAACCTCACAGATGATTCTGGTGGATGTTAAAATGTGAGAATCACAAGTCTAAACACTGTACAGAGTTAGAATTGGAGTCTGAATACATACATGTATGAAGGTAAGTAAAAAAAATTCTTGTTACAAAGCCATAGAAACCTTTATTAAGAGAACTGTCAACATATGAAACTATTATTTCTCAACAGCCTCCATCTAGGTTTACCCTTTTCTCCGTCTCTCTCCAACCCTTCCCTGAAAAAATGCCTCACTGATCCATTGATAGCATGTCAAAGGGAGAGCCTCAAGGGGCTTAAATCATGCTGCTTTTAAATGTTCTTGAGGGCTGGAAACAGAAGTCTGAAGGGGCAAGATTGGGGGTGTAGGATGGATAGGGTAAGAGTTCCCAACCCAGTTCTCACAGACCGCCCTCGTTGCACTCAGCGTGTTTGCCATTGGGATGGGAGAAAATGCCTCAGCAGATTCTCCTGGACCTGTTTCTGTCCAGTGCAGTTTCAATGTTCTTAAAACTAATTCATAATAAACCCGTGATTGTCCTGTGTCCTTCGAGAAACTCGATTAAGGTTAACCCTTTGGAGTTCCCCCACACAGTCACCACATCCTTCGGAGCTGATCTCTCTGCTTTGAACTCGATTGGTCTACCGAGTCCCCTCAGAAACCACTGTTTTGGATGGACCTTGCTCTCTGGATCATACTGGTATATGCAAAGCTGGTCCCTGACTAAAATTCATTCTATGAAATAATCTTCATTCACTTAAACCTTGCTCATAAGACTCACGGGAAGATCAGCTCTTGGAGCTAGCTAATCTTTGTACAACATGTTTGGCACCCATCACTTTGTTGAAGGCACCCCAATAATACTAAGGCATGGGAATTACTGGAAAACATGTCCTCAGCCATCCAGTGAACACAGACATGTTTAAGAATGTTTTATTTGAATAAACTCTAGTAACAATGCTATTTGGTGTGTGTGTGTGTGTGTGTGTGTGTGTGTGGTTTTTAGGTAGTCTATGCAAAACCATAGACTCCGGTTCATTTGAGAGGCCCTAGGGAAACACAGTTCTACTATCTATATGATTAATATGCAATGCACAATTTTATCATTACCATTGTGATACCCAACTGATTTTTAATTATTTTGCCTTTGTAGATTTGAGAGATGGTGTAATATATGCTTTTATCTTTTAGTTGCTCATTTACTTGGGTTTCAGAAGCCAGAACATTTTATTTGTTTGAATGAAACAATGGGCTTCTTCCTTCCCAAGGGAAATCCATTTTGAGAGTTCAGTTTGTCAAGGTAGGCAGAAACTTTCTGAAACAATCATCACATCATGACCACCACCCTGCACACCCAATTCAAATGGCTTGACTTATGAATTTAATATCAGTCTGAATTAGTTTGAAAAGCACCAGGTTCTTGCCATCTCAAGGAGCCTGGCTGAATTGAAAGATATAGAACTGAATGCTGAGTATTTAATCATAGCAAACCCCCTCCCCAATTTTATTGGTTGGTTGCTCAGAATATACACAGCAAAACATACAACAGTCCCATATTTCTATCCTTCCAATTTAGTGATACTATATTCTTCAACGTGCAATTATTCTGGCCTCCTTTTCTGAGTTGATTCTCCTTCGTTGACATAAACTCACTGCCCCAAAGCTGACCTTTCAGTTGCTGTTAGTCGGTCTTATATAAAGAGTGAGTTCACTGCTGTCAAGTCCCTGTGGACTCGGAGTGAGCCTGGAGGGCAAGAGAGAACTGCCCTTGAGTTTCCAAGATCGTTTACGGGAGCAGAAAGACCCGTCTTTTACACCTTCTCACTGCCATTTCGAACTGTGGACCTTACGGATTGCAGCCCAACACACAACTACTACGCCACCAGGGCTCCCTGATCCTGTAAAGATAGTTCTTAAAAGAGCACCAAGCTCAAGGCAGGCTCTTTTTTTTTTTTTTTAACTAGTTAAACTATTGTCTTTAGCACAGCAGGTCAAGGATTCAAGTGCTAGCGAAAACATCAGCGTGGGGAAACCACGAGCTGCTCCTGGGAAGAACGCTGATGCAGTTTGTTTCGGGGTCGGGAGATGCTGACACACTCCAAATGGGCCTCTGATGAGGTTTGCCTTGTCGATATGGGGCTCTTGTTCCTTTACTCTGTGAGTTCTTAACTACACTGTTCCCTGCTGCCGCCATAGGAAACAATACTTAAATGATGAAAACTAATAATACCTAAACCAACAAAGTCCTTACTGTGTGTGTTTGGCGTCTCTGGGTGGTACAGATACTTTGTCTTCTGGTCATCATAGAAGTTGATGAGACACCAACTGGTTGTACGGTTGTGTATGTCTGCTTCGTAGCAGTGCTCCTCAGCAGGTACTCTGTGGAATATAACACAAATGCACTTACCCAACGCATAAAAATGATTTGGAGGTTTTCAGTAAGGGTTGAGTTTTAGGGAAAGAAATATCAAAAAGTAATGTTTATAAATTAGAAACCTTTAAAAAATTGATTCTCCTGGTCAAATCTTGAAGGGAAAAAACTCAACAAATGTAGATGAAAGTCATGATAGGAAAGTAAGTTAAGTCTATGTTTGAGCAGAAATTTTCATTCAGACCAGTAAATTAAAAGCTAACTGCCAGTGTTATGCTGGGTTGACTAGAGAAACAAATCCAGAAACACCCATAGATGTGTAAGAGAGAGCTTTATATCAAAGAGTAACTGTCCATAAATTCCTCTTCAGACTCACGCAGCCAGCACATGCCATGATGCTAAATGCAGGAAGATCACAGGTCGGGTGTGTGTGAAAAGCCTTGTGGATCTGATGGAGATAGAAGTGTCTCCAGGGCTCTGGCTGCCATCAGTGTGGCTCCATGTGACTTGTTAACAGGAATGTGTAGCATGGAGAGGAAGAAAGAAAGGAAGTTCCCAGAATCCCCATGAGAAGACCATGCCCACTAGGAGGCATCATCAGGCTGTGACCTGATTGACAGACTAGACTCCACCCCTTCACTCTTACTAGCCTCAAGCTGACATGAGATTATGTAACTACTACACTGCCATTGAGTTGATTCCAACTCAGTAACCAGACAGGACAGGCTAGAACTGCCCTGTGGGTTTCGGAGACTGGAACTCTCGAAGGGCACCTAGTATTTTTGAATTGCTGACCTTGCCCTTAGTAGCCCAGAGAGTAACCACTATGCTACCAGGACTCCTTGGGTTTGCTAAGCATCTGTAAAATATTAATAAAGTCTTAGAACTTGATGCTGGGTGTCACCAGGTCCGTTTTGACTGTATGTTAAACAGCTTCACACTGTCTGGTCTGGTGCCGCCCTCACAGTCATTGTTATGTCTGAGCCCCTTGTTGCAACCACTAGGGGCTGCATCCATCTCACTGGGGGTCTTCCTCTTGTTCAGTGACCCTCTACCAAGCAAGATGATTTCTTCAGGGACTGGTGACATGATAACATGCACAAAGTACGTGAGAGGAAGTCACACCATCCTTGCTGCTAAGGAGCATTCTGGCTGCCCTTCTTCCAAGACTGATTTGTTTCTTCTTCTGGCAGTACATGGTATAGTGAATACTTTTTCACCAACATCATAATTCAAAGGTAATCAATTTTTCTTTCATCTCCCATATTCATTGTCCAGCTTTGGCTGGCATATGAAGTAATTGAGCATACCTTGTCTTGGGTGAGGTATACCCTAGTCCTCAAAGTGATATCTTTGCTTTGTAAAACTTTAGAGAAGTCGTATGCAGCAGATTAGCTGAATGCAATGAAAATTCACCAAGAAGCATGCATTTCACAGAGGACAAAACTTTAAACTCAGCACTTCAACATTTGTAGATTCCTAGAAAACTGTACTTGATGGTAGGGTATGTTCGATACAACTTTTTAAAAGCACTTTAAGCATTTATTGTGATAATTATGTGCGGACTGAAGAGAGGCCATGTGAAAGCACATACATGTAAAAGCTACGAAAGCTGTCTTCATAGTTGCATACAGGCCACTCTTTCAATTCACAGCATGGAGTCAAACCCTATGAAAAATTCTGCCAATTCATTTTTCGGTCTCTCTTATTCTTTCGGGGTGGGGGGGGGATATATTCATTTGATCCTATATTCCCTGTATGGCAATTCCTGAATGTAACTTCACAAGTATACAACCAAAGCAGTTGAAATATCCAAATATTCTTATAATGCTTTTGGAGAGTAAAGGGAAAGTGTATGGAATTGCATAGTCTGTTAGGATCCAAGGAAGCAAGTCGTGTGCTCCTGAAAGTAGGCTCAAGGAGGGTGAAGGCTGAGCCTGCTGCATGTGGGAGTCTGGCCCGGGAACTCTAGCCGGAGTTCCTAGACCCAGGAAAGGTTGGGTGCCATCAAGTTTCTTAGTGACCCTAGTCCTAAATTGTACTTTCTAAATTTTACTGAGCAGCTGGTGGGTTTGAACCCTCGGCGTGTTGGTTAGCACCTGAGTGATGAGCAATTTGTACCATCAGAGCCCTTTAAAGTAAGCCACAGCAGCCTTGAGTTCTAGGCATTTGGTATGACAAATAAATGGGCTTGGGAGCCTAAAGAGGAGGGGTCCTGGGCTCATTTATCTCATGTACCAGCCCATGGGTCAGTAGGGCCAGTTCTCTGCATGGGACTTCCCACCAGAAAGAAAGCCCTCTGAATTGCACTGTCATTTAATGAGCAGTTCAAAAAAGATAGCATGACAGGAAAGAAAATTATAGGCTGGGAACCCAGGCTTCTACTTAAATGGTGAAACTAACCAGAAATATAAAGCTCTTTGCCATTTAGTTGGAAAGAAAACTTGTCGAATTTCATTAACTTCTAATTCATGAGTGGTTTCCAATAGAAAAGTCATTGAGGAACAGAGAAAAATAACTCGGATGCTCTAAAAATAGGGGGTGATGAGTGGGAAAATCTTGTAAATGTCTTTTTAACTCTTTCAGTTCCTGAGAAGTAAAATGTAAAACGTTTTATAAAATCTGTGCAGCCGAATACTTACCTACAACAGAAAGACCGACTTACAAAGATACGGTAACATTCAATACGATGAAAAAGGAAGTCGTCAGTTGCTGTTGAGTTGATTCTGATGCATGGAGACCCGATGAGGGGCCACAGGCCGCTTCCTGGCTTTCATCTTCTGGAAGCAAGTCACCAGGCCTTTCTGCCCAGGAGCCTCTCAGAAGGACAAAAGAGACCACACCCTCCCTGCCCTCAAGTCCACTCCAGCTCCTCATGGCCCTCTAGCACAGAGTGGCCGGCCCAGTGGGTGTCAGAGGCTGTGGGTCTTTTCTGACACAGAAAGCCTCATCTACTTCCCTTGGAGCACCTGGCGGTTTCGAACTGCTGAGTTAGCAGCCTCACTCGTCACCTGCTAGCTACATCACGAGGAGCCTCTACCAGCCTTCAGTAAAGCAGCCCAGCACTTACTTGTGTGCAGTACCCATATCTGCTTCAAACATACAATTAAAGTTCTGAAATAGGAACAATGTCCAGTCATCTTCACTTCTCTGTAGAATGTCATGTTAAAATCCAAATTCCAATGGGTCTTAATTTTCCCTGCCTCACGGCAGTGTTGTCAGAAAACCCAGGCAACCTGGACAGGATTTTCACTTTCACATCAGCGCCCCTTGCTCCAAGTTCAGAGGAGTAATGACCCTCAATTTTGTTTTGGTAATGAGGTCCTAAGGCTTTTCTCATGTACATGCAGGCTATCTGGCAGGTGAGAAAGCAGTTGTATTATTTCAATTAAAAATAATAATAATGATATAATGCAAATGACTCTTTGAATGAAGTATTCAAATTGAATGAAGAATATGGGTTTTTTTAAATCATTTTATTGGGGACTCGTACAACTCTTATCACAATCCATATATCCATCCATTGTGTTAAGCACATTTGTATTATTTGTTGCCCTATCATTCTCAAAACATTTGCTTTCTACTTGAGCCCTTGGTATCAGCTCCTCATTTCCCCCCTCCCTTCCTGCTCCCCCCTCCCGCATGAACCCTTGATAATTTATGAAATATTATTTTGTCATATCTTACACTGTCCGATGTCTCCCTTCACCCACTTTTCTGTTGTCCATCCCCCAGAGAGGAGGTTATATGTAGATCCTTGTAATCAGTTCCCCCTTTCCACCCCACCTCCCTTCCACCCACCCAGTATTGCCACTGTCACCACTGGTCCTGAAGGGATCATCTGTCCTGGATTCCCTGTGTTTCTGGTTCCTATCTGTACCAGTGTACATCTTCTGGTCTAATCAGATTTGTAGAGTAGAATTGGGATCATGATAGTGGGGGGTGGGGAGGAAGCATTTAAGAACTAGAGGGAAGTTGTATGTTTCATTGTTGCTATACTGCACCCTGACTGGCTTGTCTCCTCCCCGCAACCCTTCTGTAAGTGGATGTCCTGTTGCCTACAGACGGGCTTTGGGTCCCCACTCCGCACTCCCCCTCATTCACAATGATATGTTTTTTTGCTCTTTGATGCCTAATAACAGATCCCTTCGACACCTGGTGGTCACACAGGCTGGTGTGCTTCTTCCATGTGGGCTTTGTTGCTTCTGAGCTACCGGTAGCTGCTTGTTTACCTTCAAGCCATTAAGACCACAGATGCTGTCTCTTGATAGCCTGGCACCATCAGCTTTCTGAATGAAGAATATGTTGTAAATGACTCTGAGGAAAAGAGGATGTGACAAATCAACCCCAGGGCAGGAAGAGCTCTTGGGCAAATCTCTTACCCCTGTACCCTGGCTTCCTCTGCTAACACCAGGGAGAAGAATAGTCCTTCCTTCTTCTTGGATTGCTTGGAGAATTTTCGTGGCTGGGGACTGTGCCTTGGCCCATGGCAAGTGCCATAAAAGGGTTTGCTATGAACAAGCAGTTTTTGAAAATTATTTAAAAGCTTTTTTGGTGCTTTATTTGCTTAAAAAAAAAAAAGGTTTTTTGGCCTATGTTTCACGTATACAATTTAATCACTCAAGCATATTAAGAAGAGTAATGTAATCATCATCACAATCTCAGAACGTTTTCTTCATCGTTACCTTCCCCTTCCCCCCCATCCTTCCCTGCCAGGCCCCTAGGGAGTTACTAATACAGTTACTGTCTCCAAACTTAGCTCCCCTGGGTTTCACATACAGAAAATCATCCAAAACACAAACAGCAACCAACCAACCCAAAGCAGCAATGACTAGACAAAATATAGACAAACCCAGCTTGAAAAGAAAGCAGGAAATATTAAAAATGGAAACAACTTGAAAATGGGTCCAAAGGGAGATCCTGTGATAAGGTATTGCGTTTTCACGTAACTACATCTTTGATCAACTTTTCAATGTTCTCTGCCGCACAGCAAGGCTATTCACGTCCCTGGGCTAGGTTCAGTGGTGATTCAGCAGAGCCTTAATCCACGTGTGGATCTCACAAATGAATATTGGGCTTTCACTGCCATCCGTAGCCTCCTGCAGACTGAGTGTTCAGAATTTAAGCTCTAATAATGTTCCCTCCTCTGGATTTTATTATTTACAATCCTTCGATTATACAGGCTCGTGTGCTTCTTCCATGTAGACTTAGTTGACACTTCATTTGGATGGCGTCTTGTTTGAAATCAAGCCTTTATGACCCCAGACACTTTTTTTTCCCTGATAGCCAAGCACCATCTAGTTTCTTCATTACATTTTGCTAGAGCACCTATATCATCAGTGATCTCATTTATGAGGGCAAGCATTGGGCAGGGCCAGGTCATAAGAACTAATTATTCTTAGACTGGGGATGGAATTAAGTGCGAGCCCCTAATCCACTCATATATCTATGATTTGCATATGTTTCTGGCTCGCTTTAGAGACATTATTATCATTTTATGATAGAGAGCATTATAAATTATCCCCCTGAGATATAAGATATTTCTATTGGTAGTATCATTAATTTAGCCAATGGTATAGAATATAAAACACTGTTGAGAAAAGGAAATGATGAAAATATAGGTCAGTTTCAGATCACAATACATGACTTGTTGACTTGTACAGATTAAACTCAAGTGATGGGACAATATTTACACCCCCAAAATGGTTTGGTAATAGGCAAAACTTTCAATAACACCCATTCACAAAGGGAGAACCTTATCTACCCAGACTAATACAGGCCATAAGAAAGCAAGCAGGGCATTAAAATAGTAAATAAATGGTAGTCTCAGGCCACTGCTCATTGGGCATCCTCAAAGCAAGAGATCCGAACCAGAGTCCAATGGCTACAAACTCCATACCCTTGGGATGGCAGTCACCTGTGTCTTCTCACACTAGGTGCTTCAGCCTTAAGTCCAAGGGAATATTGTGGGGTAAGGAGGGTCCCCAGCAAATCATCACAGGTCCAGTAGGCGCAATTGTACAGCGATAATAAGTAAAGATTATAGTAAAGTCATAGAAAGCATGAGAGATAAAAGAGTCAAATAATGGAGTCAGACACAATTCATGGTAGCATGCTCACCTCAGCCCCGCTTGGTGGTCCTCGTGGGGGGAGCCTGGCTGTGAGAGCAGGAGAGAGCCCCAACTTTATTGCTAACCAAGGGTTATATCTCCTTAGGGGGGGCATCATTACAGGTAACCACACTTCACAGGAAGGGGCAGTATAATAGGCATACACATCATAGGAAGGGCATGCATGATAGGCATAAGCGTGATAGGAAGAGGATGAGCTAGGGGTGTGCCCATAGGAATGGGAAGGTCTAGGTTTGTACATGTGACAAGATGGGTGGACCCTAGATTCATGATGGCAGCCTAACCTTGGTCATCCTTGGGTGGGTTTGACCTCTCTGCTGTCTCCTACAAGGAAACAAGACAACTACTATCCTTATCAGAAGGGAGTGGGCCCTACTTGTTGTGGGATAAACAGTGGTGTCTGCTTGCTCTAGATGGCTGATAGCTCTTAGGAGAATGACCCCTGATCTACTCCTGATGACCCCCAAGGGTATAGTCATTCGCAAGCAGCTAAGTCTGGCACATATTTGGGGGAGACAACTTGGGAGAAATCCTTCTGTTTCCCACAGAGTGTGCCGGTTCCTTGAGTCTGCTACAGGTGACTGTGAGGTAAAGTCTAATTTGCTTCATGGGGTTTCACATCACATTCTCTGGCACAGCCTATGAAGACTGTTGTGTGTCTTAGAGTCTAATGTCCTGGTATTCTATAGCACACAGCCTTCATCACCCAGGTCTGGATAGAAACTAGGTCAACAGTGTCCAATTAGTACCATACCACCAGGTGTATTCGCCTCCTGGGTTCTATATAAGTATTGCTAAGCACATTCCACCCCCACCCCACCCCCATGCAAGGTTGCTCTACCTGGTTTACCCACCCACCCACAGAAGTGTACTCACCTTCTCGGAGACATACATGTTCCCCTATGCCCCATCTTGACTTGGATTTTCAGTAAGGCTGGTTTACCACCCTTGTAGGAGTGGCTTGACTTGGGGGGACCTTAACACACTGCTATGTGGGAAGGCATTTTAAAGCACTAGTCCTCTAAGATCAGGCAGCAGAGGGTTTCTAAAGCAAAAGCTATGCCCAGCTTGTGTCTTATAATAACAATGGTGCCGATCATTTCTGTACACTTGCTTTAAAAAAAAAAAACTTTTTGTGGTTGAGTGAACTTTTTATGGTTCAGTAGGTTATAATCATAAGCAAAATACACATTAATCCACCCTTCTACTAGGAGACTATTTCCAAGAGTATGTTCTCGAAGTGCTATTTCAGTAGAATATTATGTGAAAAGGGGGCTTGGTGGTCAACGAGTTAAGCAAATCTAATTAAGGCTTCTTTGCTGAGGACCTGTCACTGCCTTTAATTCTCTAACGGTCACTGAGATGTCCATGAGTGGAGGGAAACGCCCCCAATGTATTTGAAAAGAGAATCTGTTAATTATTAGGTCTCTTGAGACAGTTCTGTGAAATGTACTGTGGTGTTTTAAATATACATCTATACATATGTGTGTGTATGTATGTCTGTACACACACACACACACACACACACACAGACTTTATCCTCCCACAGGCAGGAACAAGAAAACCTATGGAGGCTTCCTCTTATGGGACCTAGAGAATCTCAGAATAAAGCAATCAGTATTATTAGCATCACCTTTGTTTATAAACATAAAGTATAATATTTGTATAAACCTCCAAACCACTTTCGCTGCCACTGAGTCATTTCTGGCCCTTGACGACCCTATGGGAACAGAGTAAAACTGCCTCTGTGGGTTTCTAGGGCTGTACATCTTTAAAGGAGCAGACAGCATCATCTTTCTCCCTCAGGGCAGCTGGTGAGTTCGAACTGCTGACCTTCCAGTTAGCACCCCAAAGCATACCTTGCCTCATTACCAGGGCTCCTGTAATATGTGTATACAGTGAACCCTCGTTTATTGCGGTTAATCGGTTCTAGACCCTACCGTGATAAATGAAATTCTGCGAAGTAGGATTCCTTATTTGTAAATCAAATATTTTCGTAGTTAGAGCATAGAGGACATGAAAAAACACCCTTTAGTCACCATTACACTCGTATTACCCAATTTATTAAACAAAAAAGGGAAAATACAGTAAAACATTTTGGACGTTACAATTATCATTTATTATTTATTATATTATTTCTGGCATCAAGCATGTACAGTATGAGCCAATCAGTGGCAGTAATGACAGAGCATGCGCTGTTACGCAAAAACCGCGATAGAGTGAAGCCGCGGAAGTCGAAGCGCGAAGTGGCGAGGGTTCACTGTAGTTCGTTACAAAA